TCAAAGGAGCGCGGTGGCATCCTGCGCCGATCTGCCTCGGCCCGGCTGGGCGCGGAACCCCGAGCCCAGGACCGTTATCCCAAGGCCCAACACCCAAGGGCAGAAGAGCCCTCTCCTCCTGAGTCCAAGCCAAGCCACCTGGCCGCCTCCTTCCCCACCAGGGCGTGGCGCGTCACTCCCACGCCAGAGCGCAGCCCAGTGCCCACCCAGCCCCGCGCTGTTACCTAGCGTAACGCCCCAGGAAGCCTCGGGCGCCTTGGCACCCACAGCCCAGGGCCCGGATCAAGGCAACAGGAAGGAGGGGGAGAGGACGAGGCTGTGACGGCAGAGGAGGAGGAGCCGGGGGTCTGGGGGCATCTGCTGGCTGGGAGGACAGAGAGCAGAGCCGCAGCTGAGCCAGGGCCATTCGGGCAGAAAGCAGCTGGATGGAGTGGTCCTCCTGCTTTGGACAGGAGAGGGGAGGGCAATCTAACGGTGATATGAGACCGTAATGATATGCGAGCTGTTGCCCTTGTTTGTTTGGTCTTGTCTGTTTAACCACTTTCTATCCCTTCCCTCCCCACATTGAGACAACCGTCCTCGAAGCACTTAATGAGCACCTACTAAGTGCTTGCATCCCAGTTGAGCACTGCAAGAGACGAAGACATAGTCCTTGCTCTCCTCCTTGACTCTGGGTTGTGAGATAAACACACAAATGACTGATTACCAGGCATGTGAATTAGAAGTTATTCTAATTTTAACGTTGTCACCAACTGGGCAGTACAAGATAAGACTTAAGGGTTTCTGGGTATTGATGGCACCTGACTGTCATCCCAGCTCTTGGAAGCCTGAGGCAGGAGTTTGAGTCCAGCATGATCTACATAGTGAGAACTTAAATGGAATAACAACAACAGTGTAAATCCTGCTTGGTACGCCCTTAGGCAAGTTACTTAACTATTCTGGGCTTCCTTTTTCTCATCCACAGAATGGGGAGAGTAATAGTATCTCAAGATTATTGAAACAGTTTTGAAAGATCGCACCTATAAAGTGCTTGGAACCATGCCTGGGATACAGAAGTCATCTGACTGTATAAACGTCCAGACTTGTTTTTATTTCACTTTGAGTAAATCTTTCCTCCTCTCTGGACTATTTTAATACCAAAGAGTAAGTATGAAATGAAGGGAGCAATATGGGGCCTCAGGCAGGGTAAACAGGTTGTCTGGATTGATCCAGATAGACAATAATAGGATGCTGAGGAGTCCAGACATCCTTCAGAAGATCTGTTTGTACCACATCTAGGGAATAGAAAATATTCTCATTTTGATCATTTATTTTGCCAAGCTCTCAAAGGTAAGGATGGGACTGTTTTCATCCATTTCTCTAGTGTCTAGTACTAGACAGGTGCAATGAATATTTGTTGGTTGACTTAATGGAATGCTATATTGGAAGCATATTGTCATTCCTAAAGCTTGTTGACCACCAGATACTTGGAAAGTATTTTCAAAATGCCGTTGTACATTTGAATGTTGTGATTTAGTAGATCTAGTGTGGGACCTTAGGATCTGTATCCTTAAAACCTGCCCGTTCTAAGGCATGGTCATATTGGAGAATAATTATTCTGAAGAAACACTTTCTTATGTGGGTAGACCAAGCCTGGGATGTTACTCAGTACAGGAATCATGCTCCCATGCTCCCCAAGATTTGGCCACTCATAGTGTTGTTCATGGACCCCAAAAATCTGTACCACCAGGCAATTAGTTGGAAACAGAATCTCAGATCCTGACTTCAATCTGCATTTTTAACACAGTTTCCAGTGATTTATATGCTCATTTGGCAGTAGTTCTCAACCTTGAGCATACAGGCGAATCATTTGAGGGGCTTTTAAAATCCTAGTGCCAAGACCACACCTCAAAGTAAATCAAAGTCTTGGTTGTCAATCAAATTTAAAGCTCCTTAGGTCATTCTATTGTGCAACCAAAGTTGAGAACCCCTGCTCCAGAAATATTCAACTAAAATCAGTACAAGATGAACTGAAGAACACATGTTTCAAATGTGTTGGAACAGGCCAGGTCAGAGGTAATGACAGCCTGAAGAAATATAACATGGAAAAACCCATTCCATGAAATGGAGTGTCCAAACCTTAATGTTTTTCCTGTTTTATTTTTTGTTGCAATATTATTTTTCCTTCTAGTGTCTGACCCTGTGACTTTCTTCTTCCTGTCACCATTTCCCAGCAAAGAACAGAGTATTAAAGGATTCAGGAGTCTAAGGCTAAGGTTGTTAGTGAAGGTACCTATTGTTCCTGGGCTATGGGCCTATACACCTGGATGATTCCAGGTTCAAGCTTCCTTGCCTGGGACTACATTTTATTAATTTACATATCTTTAGCCACCACCAGGGAATAGGAAGCACTCTACCAACTTAATAATGGTAGCAATAGTAACCACAATTATCACTGATAACACTTACATGGTATTACCTTACTAACTCACCAGATAGTCTTAATCCTCACAATAACTATGGAATGAGATCTGGTTTTCTATTCTTTTTATAGGTGCAAGAAACTGAAGCAATCAAGTACTTTCCCAAAGTGACATGTTTAGAGTGGGGGATAAACCCAGTCAATGAGTGACTCAGAGGAGTTATGCACCTAAGTTATGCTGCCTCCAATCAACTAGAATTTCCTACCAATGAGTACTACATTCGGTGTTCACAATTTTTACCTCCGAGAAGGGCTGAGAGGTTGTTTAGAGAAAAAAAAAGGACTTCCATTTTTTAAAAAATCTTACTAGCTTTATTTGTGCTAGTCACATTTTTAGGCATGGGAACACAGAGCAAAAGACAGCTTCAAATTCAAGAAGCTGCCCCACAGCCTTGAGGAGCAGGAGGGTCCAGGGGACACCCAAAAGTATGCAGAATGGACCTGGAAGAGCTCACTGCACTGCCATCCCTTGGGTGCAGGGCAGTTTTCCTGATCTGGGTCCTGGGTTTAATAACTCCAACCCCTGAGTTGAACCAAAAGTCCTTACTTTGCTTTAGAAGTCCATGCCTGGGCCCACCTTGAGTGAACTAAAGACTGGACATAGTGTGAAATAAAAATTGAAAAGCAGCAGCAACAATATTTTCCTTTAATCTTTCCCCCTCTACAATGATTGGTTTTTGCCCTTGGATTCCTGTTCTGATTAGATGCTGAATGAGCTAAGTAAACATCCACTAAACTTCCCCAGAATCATAAATTTTATGGGAGTGGTTCTTAACCTTGAGCACACTGGAAACTCGTTTGAAGAGCTTTTAAAATCCCAATGCCAGGGCCCGGGATTTAGCTCAGTGGCTCCGTCGACTGACTTGCAAGTTCAAGGACCTGAGTTCGATCCCAGTACCAAAAAAAACAAAACAAAACAAAACAAAAAACAAAAAAAACCCAATGCCAAGGCCATACCCTAAAGTAGATCAGAATCAAGAAGGCACGGGGCTGGGGACTTAGCTCAGTGGCACAGAAAGTACCAATAAACTAAATTAAAAAAAAAAATAAATAATTGTGCAGGCACAAAAGATGAACTTTTTAAATTTGACTCTGCTCAGCTAAATGTCCCAGTCACTAGCCATTGGAAAATACTGAAGACCAATCAGTTAGGCTGCAATTCTTTTTTTTTTTTTTTTAAATAAATATGGGCAAATAGATTCCAACCAGAGCTTTGTATAGTGCAGGAGATCAACTTTCAGTACTCAACTGAGCAGACTGACAAGGTGGGCAGGATTGTGGCAGGAAAGGGTCAGTTCTAGCATCTGTCAGTACTTAAGGAGGAGCGCATACATGCATGAGTGTGTACAGAGATGGGCACAGATATCCTGGTGGCAGAGCAGTCCCTTTAGATACTAAAAATCATAGCTGATGGCTCCCTCTGCAATCTCGTTGTTACCCAGCTATCCATCTCTCTTAAATGGGGCAGGATCTATGTCACCCAGACTGTCTTAAACTCCTGGGATCAAGCAGGCCTCCTGCTTCAGTCTTCTGAGCAGCTATAACTTTAGGAGCCTGCCACCATGCCTGACTCACCCCTTTTAATTACATTTTTTCTTTTTTTTTTGTACTGGGAATCAAACTCAGGACCTTGTGTTTGCCAGGCAGGCACGCTGCCACTGAGCTACATCCTCAGCCCCCTTAGCTGCATTTTTTAATTGAGAAATTAACTTCTTCCATGTCATGGCAAGAAATAGAAAGGAGTCATAATATAAACCCCATTCAAATATCAGGAATAGTTTCCTGTCTTTTTTTTGCGGGGGGTACTGGGGATTGAACTCGGAACCTTGCACTTGGGAAGCAGGTGAGCTAAACCCCTGGCCCCCCTTTTTTTCTATATATAGGTTTCCTACATGAGTAGTATTATTTGCAACAAATGTTTAATCCCAATTTTGTTTTTCCCTATTAGCTATTACTTTTATTTGGTACTGGGGATTGAACTCAGGACCTTCGTACTGAGCTAAACTCCAGTCCCTTTTTTATTTTTTATTTAGAGACAGGGTCTTACTAAATGCCCAGGGGGCTCCAACTTGCAATCCTCCCACCTCAGCCTTCCAGATGACTGGGATTACAGATATGCACCACCACGGCAGGCTAGCTATCACATTTTTGAAGGGCTTTTCTTTCCTACAGGTCAAAGCTTTCCTCAGGAATATGTGAAACAGTTCTTTCCTTTTTTTTTTTTTTTGTACCGGGCATTGAATCCAGGGCCTCTGACATGCTAAGCAAGTGCTCTACCACTGAGCTTCCCTCCCAGCCCTGTGTAACAATTCAAATTTAAGAAAATTTAAGAAAAACATTTTAACCTAAGAAAAACCACAAGAATAGCTCCTTGCCAAAGGTGGCAGTGCATTTAAAGCCAGTCATGAAATTATCCTTTTCCTTAAATATCTATTCCTTTCCTTTGTGAATGCTAAATAGTAAGTGTTCAAGACAACTGAGGTATAAGATATCAGCCTGGCCTCCACCTGTTAAGGCACCAAGTGACTTGAACTTGAATACTCACTGATCTCCACCTTACAAAAGGAAGAAACCAATCGCTTGCTTATTCTTCTCCCAAGGGAGTTCTTTCCCAAAGAATAAGAACTCTGAACCCTTCAGGACCCTGTATTAACTAACATATGTCATTTTCAGCATACATGGGGGGTCATTTTCCCCTCCCCATTGTATGTACAGTGTATGTACTCATATCTGTCCCCCCTAAGAAAAAAGCACAGAATAATTTAAACTTTTTTTTTTTTTGGTACTGGGGATTGAACTCGGTACCTTGCACTTAAACTTTTTCTTACCAACAGTGGAACAGTTTATATCAGCACTACACAAATTTATTTAGAAATGGATTTCTTTGAGTCTCAACAGATTCCTGTATATGCAGTCTTTAAAAAAAAAGTCACCATTTCTAGGTATGGCTTCATGTTATAACTCTACACACTGGCCCACAATGAAAGAGACTCTAGAGATAATGTTCCCCCCAAAAGTCAGCAAAGAGTCCCGGCACACATGTGAAACTCTATGTAAATATTTTCACACTTTGGTATTTTTTCCTTTTTTTTTTAAGAAGATAAAATATTACAAAGATGTCTTTGAAATTTACACCTGAGTTAAACATTTTTCTGGAAAATTCCACACTAACAAGAAAAGAACACAATGTAAAATGAGGAAAGGACTATGCACAAATATGTTACCAGCATCATTGCTGTGTGTTTGCTCCTGGGTTCTTCCTTTTCTGCAGCCAGAAGAAACAGAAGATGGACTGAGGAAAAACACATGGAGAAAGAGAAGGAAAAGGTGCTCTTGAACTCTGGAATGAGTGTGAATAAACAGAAGGGCACGGGACAGGGGCAGGCCAAAGTACCCAGGGTACAGAGCTGACTGAGCCACCTGTAAAGATGAGAAACTTGGAGGATGCAAGAATGAATGGATTTGGTTTTGGAAAAGAGGGAAGATAAAAAAGAAGAGGGGGGAAATTTCCTCTATGGGAAATTTTTGCTTAATGTAGAAATCATTACTGCTTTGGAGGAGACATCTGATTCAAATCTTTCCAGAGTTTGGAATCAGCTTAGGCTGTGGCTAAGTTCGAAGTCAAAGCCATTTATCTCCCATTGTAGTGGTTTGGCATACCAGGGAAATGGCTGTCCCCTAGAAGCCCAAAGATGAGATGGGGAATAATGGTAAGAAAGTCCTTTCTCTGAAAGACTATTGCTGGAGTGAAGCCATCTAAAATATTTAGAGCTAGAAGGTAACAGCATGAGGACCATCTCCCGGCTCTGGAGAAATGGTGAACTCCCAGCAGGGATAGGGATATA